CTTCTTTCTTCCCTTACTCAGCCAATGTCCTAAATATTTTACTTCTTGTTCTACAAACTGTAGCTTTGATCGGGACACCTTCAATCCCTTTTCTGCTAGAAAATTTAACAATTTGATGGTGGCTTTTCGGGTTGCCTCTTCAGTTTCTCCTGCCACTAATAAATCGTCTACATACTGTAATAATTTTACCTCCTTGGATGATGTGAAATCCTGTAAGATTTTCTCTAAAGTTTGCCCAAATAAATTTGGTGACTCTGTAAACCCCTGTGGTAATACCGTCCATCTTAATTGCTGTTTTCGTCCTGTTTCGGGGTCCTCCCACTCAAAAGCAAAATAATCTCTGGATCCCTCGTCCAGGGGACAGGCCCAAAAAGCGTCTTTTAAATCTATTACACTATACCAAGTATGCCTGGGAGAAATATGACTCAGTAAAGTATAAGGATTTGCCACCACAGGGAATTTAGTGATCGTTCGCTGATTTACAGCTCTTAAGTCCTGCACCATTCGGTATGACCCAGGCGGTTTCTTTACAGGGAGGATGGGTGTATTATGAGGTGACATACATGGTTCCAAAGTTCCTTTTTCTAAAAGTCTGTCAACTACAGGTTTTAATCCTTTTCGACCCTCCATGGGTAGAGGGTACTGCTTGATTCTAATTGGGTGATGTGGATCTATTATTTGAACGCTTATGGGGTCCATTTTTATATTTCCAGTTTCCCCTTCTTTATACACCGAGGGGTTAATAGCTTCTTCATCCTCCTGTGTTAAAGTATATAATTTGATCTGCAATTTGTCCCCCTGACTCTGAATGGTCAAGTTTAATTTCAAAATCAAGTCCCTTCCTAATAAATTGTATTCCGCTTCAGGGAGCAAAAGTAAATCATTAAGACAAATTTTCTTTTCCGTTTCTACTTCTACATCTTCTAAGATAGGTACTTTAAAAGGCTCTCCTTTTGCCCCTACTACTGACATATAACTCTTCCCTTCTTCTATTCCTTGTGGAAGTTTTTGAATGGTTGATTTTTCAGCTCCTGTATCTACTAAAAATAAAACTTCCTCTTTATGGGGACCCATTAATAATTTTATCAAGGGCTCTGTTGATGTTTAAGTCCCCAGAAGATAGAGCCCTTGACACCCCTAATCTTCTTGGAACATTTTCTCATCTTGTTCCCCTCTTGTTGCAGTAGTAACAGACGGGAACTGTAGATCTCTCTCTATAAGGCTGTCCCCAGGCTGTCTGCTCTATTGTTTTTTCCCTTTTCTCTTCAGATGGACTCTTTATTTTTCTGGCTTTCTTTTACTGCTGCTAAAAAAATTTTTGCCTTTACTTTCTGTTTTTCTTCATCCCTCCTAACATAGACCTTCTGGGCTTCTCTGAGTAACTCCTCTAATCCTTTTTCTTGCCAGTCATCAAGTTTTTCTAACTTCCTTCTTATATCCCCCCAGGACTTGGCTACAAATTGTGTTCTAAGGAGTGCGGTCCCAGCCACTGTATTCGGATCAATTCCAGGATACATTTGCAGGCTTTTTCTCAACCTCTCCAACCACTCTGTTGGAGATTCGTCTTTTCCTTGTTGTTCATTAAATGCTTTATTAATGTTTTGCCCTCGGGGAACCGCCTCCTTTATTCCCTGTATGATTAATGTTCTCAAATCCCTCATGTTTTGTCTTCCTTGGGGTTGTTGATGATCCCAGTGGGGATCCACATGTGGCCATTTTTTGATCTCCTGGGGGTCCTGCCTGATTCTGTCTTTCCCAAATTCTCATTCCAGCTTGTCTAATCATTCCCCTTTCCTCAGCAGTAAATAAGATCGCCAAAATGGATTGCATTTCTTCCCAGGTATAGGTATTGGGGCCTAGGAATTGGTCTAGTTTTTCAGCTACTCCAAGGGGATCATCTAATAGGGTCCCCATTTCTTTCTTAAAACTCCTTACATCGGTGGTATTTAATGGGGCTGTCACAAACCTGATTGCCTCCCTGATTGCCTCCGAGGGGTACCTCTCGTAAGGGACACAGAGAAGCTCCCTCAGACGCGGCAGTCCTACTTCTCGTACAGGCAGCCGGAGGTCCATCTAATTCCGGTGCTGTTGGTGGTGGGGGCAGGGACAACGGTGGCACTGGTGGAGGGGCTGCGGCCACCGGAGGGGGAGATGCCGCCAGCGGGAGGGGAGCTGCCGCCAGAGGGGGGGAACCGCCGCCGCCAGAGGTGGGGGGAGCTGCCGCCACAGGTGGATTGTTAAAATCTGGAGGTGGTACGTAATCCAGTGGCTCCCATTGATCATTTTTTTTTTTATTTCCTTTTTCATTTTTATCTCCTTCTTCCTCAAACTTTTCATCTGTTTTTAATGCAAATATTGAGGCTGGAAAAGGACGTGAAGTCCTGATCCATAATTCTGCATAATCACTTTCCTCCTGACTAAAAGGTTCCTTTGAATTAACATATATACTTAAGGCCTGACAAATCCAGTCTTCAAAAGATCCAAAAACAGGCCAAAAAACATATGGTTTTAAATTCAATCATTCAATCATACAATATCGGACCAATTTTGATACACTTTTTCCTTTTCTGGGGCCCCTTTCATTCCAATTCCTAATCATTATTCCTAATGGACTTTCTGGTGGTATGTCTGGTAACGTGCTCCCTTCCTCCTGGTCCTGGGTTCTCGATTTTGTCTGACCCATCTAGGAATTTTACTGTGGCAATTCCTACAGCCCTTGGTTACCGGTAAGAGTGTCTTGCAGGGGGTTTAGGACCTATCACCCACCCACGAATCCCATAGGAGTCGCTTCGGTCCTTCACCGGCCAAGTCCCTGGTGGGAGATTGGAGCCGCGGTTCGCAGACCTCCACACTCGCTTCGGAACCAGGTTCCGTCTCAGTCACACTCTGACACACACAGGCACCCGAATCCCACCCAACCCAACGGGATACGCCTTTAAAAACTTACGACTCCGTCGTCTTCGTTCGGATCTTCGCGCGCAGAATTACGGGCAAAACAAACTGCTGCAGCCGGCAAGGGAGCTCAAAAAAAAAATTAAATTCTTTGCTTGTCCCTACTCAGGTTCAGGATGGCGTTAGTCCCGACCTGACCCGACCAGGAGCCACCAAAGCGGTGGGGCGCCCCCCCTAGATCAAGTCAGAATTCAGGAACCAAGACCATCCCGGACGAGCCCCCAATTGTGATAAATGATTTTTCCTCAAACAGGATTCCAATTAAAGTTTACAATTTATTAAACAAGTAAAGACAAGCAAACAGCGCCGGGTGCACTGGGAGTCTCCGCTCAACCAAGGCACACACGTGCAAGTCCCGTTTTGGGTTTATATCGCTTCTCCTAATACATATTCATACCAAGGTTGGCCTATGCTAATGAGAGGCCTGTCTTCTTTGGTGCATGCCCTCCTCACCTTCTGGTATCTTCTAGGAGTTTTCCTTGGCTCACCCCCAGGACGACCCCCGACTCCAGGCGTGCGCCCCACAGACCCCTCCCGTTCAGCACCAGTAACAAAAACTGGTTTCCTTAGGGGTTCTTACAACAAATAGAAACTACATACATACAATCCCGCTTCTCCCAAGCCCATGGTCATACAAGGACAAACAGAACAGTTAAAGATATTAACACGAATCAGGTGAACACATTTCACAGTATACAAATTTTATTATTTAAAAACAGGCTTATGTATAATGAAAGATAACTGTACACTAATCTTCAGTTTGCTCACTGCAAATGACCTGCAGGAGCAAACAGCTACTGCAGCAGTTCAGAGCCAGTATCAGAATATCATTCATTCATTCATTCAGATGCAATTTTCAGCAAGTATTAAACATGCCTTTTCACTCTAAAACCGTATTTTCCAACACAATATTTAGGGACTTCTGATCACAGTGCAGATCGAATACACGGAATCCTTTACCCAGCCCTTGAATTGACCAGCTGTATCAATACTGATTTCCAATACCCCAGAAAAGGAGCTGTGGATAGTTTAAGAAGAGGGCTCCATGTCTGAGAGCCTGTCGATAGCAGTGGAGCAGATTCCCAGGGGACTGAAGGAGCTGGGTTAGAAACAGTCTGAAGTCTTGTTGCTGGAAGCTGGCGGCTGGCTGGAGTGCCAGCTCTGCAGGACAAATCCAGGGAGAAGCATCTGGAGAGAGCAGAGGAGCCAGGGGTTCAGCTGGCAGCCACTGCTGCTGCGTTGGCTGGCACCGGGCTCAGGCCCTTCCTCACCGAGAGTTTTTGTGGCTGTTCCTATAAAGCTCTACAGGTGCTGTGACGCCAAAGAAAATCTGCAGGAGGACTTCAATCACACAAATGCCTTTTCTGCTTTAGTTTAGGTGTCGAGAACGTGACTTCATCTGGGTGTCACTGACAGTGCTAGAATTCACCAGACTGGAAATGTGATTTGTCTTTTTGCAGTGAACTTCAGTAATAGTAATAACAATCCATTCACTATCTAAATGTGCAAATTATGAGGTATATTAGTTTTCACGAGGAGCTGAACTCCAGCTGGGAGCAATCAGAATGACCTTAACTAGTCACGTCTCTCTCCCTATCTGCCTTAACGTCCATTCACATTTTACACTATCTTGATGCAGAATGACGAGACTAAAGCCTCATCTGTGTTGCCAGTAGATCTACGTTGACAGTCCCTGCGAGCAAAGGCAATGTGATCTATTCAATACATGAGGGTTTTGCACAGATAAATCATGCTAGTTCTTCAGCTGCTGGTTACTAGCCTTCTATAGACAGGGATAGGAAGGGTGAAAAATTTCTTAAAGGTTTCCCTTGTTAAAGTAAGAACTCTGCACACCTTACCTCCATTTCTGTAACAGCTGCAAGGAAACATCTGCTACCTTTTAGGTAAAGTTATTGTTGAAGCAGAGAAGCAGTTCAAGTAGAAAGTCTACATCTTTAGTATTTTTGTGTACCAGTGTGATGAAAGCTTTATTTCTTTCTTCATTGGCAGTTCTTATGATGAAGGAGTTAAGAAGTACTTTGCACGGGTTAATTGTGCTCATGTACATTTGCACGCAGGTCTGACGATAGAGATCCAGTCACAGAGTCTTTGATCTTCTGAGTCTCACATTCACACTCTTCTACAATCATGACTTCTTTGACCACTGGGGCAGAACTGGTGCAGTTGAGATCTAGGCGTTTCATGGAGAACTTGCTGGGCAAGCAATGAGAACAAAAGGTATAAAGACGATCCTCTGGTCCAGGAACATGAAAGGAACTACATTTTCCAAAACACAGATTATTCTGTACCATCACCTTCTCACAGCCGTCGTGAGTAACGCCCTGAAACAGAAAGCGGTTTGAAGTTCCTGACACATGAACGGCCTGTGGTCTTTGCTACATGACTTGAAGGCAAACGTCTCCACCTATCCCCACCCCCGCCCCCACTCTATTTTTCTTCTCAAAACATTTGCTTTAAACATTTTTTATGTCAAGCAGGCAGTAATACGTAAGAGTTTTTAAAAGCAAATTTTAGCACTCCTAAAGGCAATTCTTAGATTGAGCAACAGTCAGAGAGAGCCTTTGTGTGCTGATATGGGGAAATCCAACAAGTGGGTTTGTCATATTTACCTTTTAATTGCTCGTGAGTTCTACATTTCTGACATGGTTAAGCAGTCTTACCTACTTAGCAGGACTTAAAACATCTTTTTGGCCCAACATTCTTATATATAAAACACGAGCTAGACACCACTGTAATCTTAAATATTTGTCTCCATGTGGAAGAGGCATAATGTTCTTTGGCAGATTTTTTAAAATTAAAATCTTAAAAGTGCAATGGAAGTTCTGTAATCTCTTGGTTTGCAAGAATAACAATTGCTTGTATCAACAGAGCCTATGTCAACTCCCAAACCATAAAAAGCTAGACTGAAGTTAGCACTTCCATAGTGTCATAACTGCAGCCATCCTGGAGAAAGCTTGCATGCTAGCTGGCACAAAAAGTAAAATGGTAGATGTTTCTAGGCCTTATCTGTATTTACATATGTCTGCCAGTGAGACAAGTTTAGTGAAAAACCATAGTCTTGACAGACTGTGATTATAGAAACACTGAGAATAGATATGGCTTCATGAGGAATACTGCGCTTCTGTCCATACTATTTGCTTGTCTTGATGCTACAATGGAACTGAATGGCTTCATCTGCACATGGGAAAATTTAACAGTTCTCCAGCATTCTTAGCACAGTTAGATGTACGCATCAGTCTTCTGATTACTACAGCAGAAATTAATCCTTGCTTAGCTGCAATAAACAGCCAGCTTCATCTGTGAGTACTTTCCCTGAAACTCTTTTTGTAGATACACATATGCGTATGTACATATATAGGTATACAAACTGTTCAGATGTATATTCACTGAATAGATAATTACTCACCACTGACCTGCTTGCTCAGGCTAAGTCAGGACATCTTTGCATAAAAAGAACAAATAATTGTCTAAAAAATTAACACATGGCTTTCCAGTGCTGCAATTTAGCAATTTATCTCATCAGACTAAAACTTTTTCAGCTTTTTTCCACCATGTTTTTCAGCTCCTCAATATGTGTGAGTGTTCTGAGGTGGCACTGTGACTTAGCAAATGAACTAACCCGTATGTCTTTAGGTGCTAATTACAAGACGGAGGGGAAAGGACACATTTATTGATCTTGGACACCTCTTCTTACCTGGGAAAAAGGCAGGGTTCTGCAGTTTTCTTGATGCATTTCATTAGTCTTGATTGGCAAGACAACCTCTTCAGATGCTGAATTTTTCTTTAACATGAAGTGGTCCCAAAATTTCTTGGCATCTTTTCTATAGAAAGGTTCGGCCTCCTTCTTGCTGGAGTAGTGGGGTGGAGAGACGTTTGTGACAGGAGAGATCTCTCTGGGTGCTGCCCAGGTTCTCAGGTCTTGGTCTGGGTGGAGTTCTGCATTGGGAAGGATGAATCTGGACGTTTTTTTCTTCTCTTGCTTCTCACTTTTGGATGCTGTCTGTGGAATTGCTACAAAAAAGCTTGGTTCTCCCGGGGTTTCCTCAACACCGACTGGGTTTTCCCCTACCAGCTCACGAAAACTCTGACTTTCAAGCAGATTTTTGCCCATATAGAAAGGATGCTGAAACGGCCTTCTGCTTTTCCTTCCCAGTGGCTCTGTGGCTCCAAGACATGAGAGCACTAAGAGCTGAAGGACAGGCAGTGACATGATCCTGCACATCATAACCCTGCAGACGTGCTGCTGTTGCAGTGAATGTAGTGTGCTAGCTTTATACGAGAGCCTGGTGTCAGCTTATGGCTGCTGCCTGTGGGCAGGGGAGGGGAGGGCTCAGGGGAGACCCTGGTGTGGCTAATTGCATTCATTAAATGTAGATTACAATTATGATAGGGGAGTTTGTGCTAATGAAACTCTGCTTTCAATCTGGATTATGTGTATTAGAAGTTCCTATCTAAAATCTAGTAATGGCGTGGTGGCCAGAAGGAGTCAACAGGAGGAAATGTTTGGATAAGCTGTCTAGTTTAGGCCTAGGAATTAAGGAAACATTTGAGGTTGTGTATTAGCTTGTTCAATGTGGTCTTCCTTGTTTATTTTGACTTTCCATTCCACAAAGCCAGAGACTGTCAAAACAGGTAGTGTTATTTCATCACGACAGGAAAAGGCAAGCTGATTTTTGTGTTTGCTAAAACTTGAAGCTGGGTCTGGTGACATCAAATCAGCCCGTGTTTTCAAAAGTTGAGTCTAATTTTGGTCTCTCAGTTTTTGGGAGAGCTGGCAGAGTGCGGCTCACACGCTCAGAGGGCTCTGGCAGAGAGCAGCAGCCCCTGCTTCACCTCCTTCACAGCAGGTTAGCAGCTGCCGGAGTGCAGACATACCACTAGCCCTGAATGAAAGGTCCCAGCATGGGGAAACTCTGCACCCCAGATTCTTAGAGATTAACTAACACTTCTATGTCCTGTTCAGGCACCAAAGCCACTATGGCATCCTATAAAGTTGGTAAACAAAATGAGGATTTAAGCAAAACATGTTAGAACTGACATACTATGATTCTAGACATCGATGTCTCAACAGAAATATCTAAAGACTACTGGACCCTAAGCTGGAGGTGTCTTTTGCAAAATTCTCATGCTATGCAACATGTAAGAAAAAATATCTGCTAGAACATCATGCAGAGGAAAGTTTTGGAAGAAGGAAAAGATATTTTCAATAAACATCACAAGCATTGATCCTAATCTGAAAACGCTAAGAGGAAATTTCTGCTTCAGATAATTTCTCACTTAGGTATTCTAATCTCTACACACTCCTGTTTCTACCAGAAAGAGTCTATCAATAAACTCTTATGTTTGTAGCTAATCTGTTCATTAGTCTTGAAAACTAAGGTGGTGTGTACTAGATGTATGGAGTTATTTGACTTTCATTTCTGGGGAATTAATTAATTCATCGATAATCATCAAAGTAAACTAATGGCCTAGCAAAATCCTTGTGAGGCACTGATTTACAACTTTATTACCAAGTTAGTGGAGATCTAGAGCTTTTCCTTACTGCCAAATTCACTTGAGTTAAAATTTGTTCTAATGTTGAGGTCCATCCTGAGACAGAAGTGCATGGAGCACCAGGAAGAATGTAGGTTGCACACCAACATTAGAGTGCATTTGTGCCTTGGCCTCGGTGGGACAATCCCCTTAGGGGAAGCACAGCCATCACGCAGAAGCTTTATTGCTCTGTAATTTCAGCTGAGAGCAATTTAATTCTGCCACTGCTTTGGTGCCTTCCTGAAGTGTCGAGTGTTCCCTGGGAGGGTAGATTCTCCCACAGTTACCAGGAGTGAAATCACAGAAAATACTGGCATCTGCAACAAGATTGGCACTGCAGCATGCCCTGGAAAAAGTCCTTGCATCATATTTACACAAGCGTGTGCAGCATTAGGGTGTAGCAACAAGGAGTCAAGAGGATTAATTTGATTGAGTAATTACATAAGTAGCCTAAAAGTGCAATTTGAATCCTCTTTATTGGCCAAGAAGTTGAACTGAAGCAGTTGACATTTGGAACTGAAATTCCTTGTATCAGGTTCATGTTGGTAATAGTCAGTCAAAATTATTCAGCAAAGATAAGGAGATTACATTTTGAGTTTTGCTTCTTTTTTCCCTTTCTATTGCAGTTGCTCAGAGAATTACAAGGCTGGGCTGATACTCATACCTATGCATTGTGTTGTGTTATAATGACACAGAATAGTCTGACACGTTTGGCAATGTCTTTCAAACAGAAGATTTGACTGTTTGAAGCAACATATATTTTTTACAGCTCTTTGCTTCAGAATTTAAAAATAAAAAGCTAACTTAAACAATTAAAAAATTATTCCTTCAGGATTACAGCAACACAACAGAGCTGTTCTTTCTGTTTGCTTTTATCAGTTTCAGCTATTTTTCACTTCCTTTGCCAGGAAGTGCCTTTTCTCAAAGTCCAGACCAATGGTATACCAGTTTTTTCTGTTTAAGAGTTCCAGCTTGTGGTCTTGATCCTGTAATGTCTGTATTTAACTTTATCCATATAAGTGAAATTGTATTAAATTACTCACATGTATGTTTACAGAACTGAAATCCAAGTGCCTGAAAGGCCCAGTTTACCTCCCTTCAAAGCCTCCTTAAAAAAATCCCACCCTCTTCAAGGTAAAACAAAAAAGGCTTTTAAGTCTCACTTAAAATTTACCCCAGTCTGCTCTGAAAGAAAGAAACACATGTGTATGTGTGGAGGAGGATTCTGCCCCTCTCATCTGATGTGGCTGAAGCATGCTTTGGTGTGCAGATAACATCTCCGTTTCTGCTTTGTAGCAAGAATATGAGCAAAATAATTTTATTACTGCTGTTTGCAGAGGGTTCTTTCTGCAGCTCTTCACAAAAAATAAATCAAGTTGCAAGCAGCATGTTGCAAGTGCAAATGGTTTAAGGATATCTCTATCAATGCATAAAAATCAAGTAAATGATAGCACTGGAATGATCTGGCCATGCAGAAACATCTGTCTAAATTAGACTGGTCTGGGTCATTGGTGCAGTACAAGTACAAGGAATGTATAAAAACCTTAGTTTTGGCGTGTATGTATAGAAGTTAAGCTGCTTGTGTTCTATTTGCAGTGCAATGGCACTGAAAAAAAAAAAAAAACTGTTCCAGTTCAGCATCCATTCATGATATGTGCAGTTCTACCCTGTAACATACAGCAAGACAAAAGGCATGCCTTACAGGGCTTCAGGTGTAAAAGCACATAATATTATTTACAGCAGGGTAGGAAAGAAGGCTGAATCACAGCGGTGTCAGCGAGTCACTCCCCAAGCCACTCCACCACCCAAAGGCAGAAACCAGAGCTCTCTTCTCCTCCAGGTCCAGCCGGTTCTAGTTCCTGGTTCTTCCTGGATGGTTCTGCCTGAGGTCTGCTGAGAGGCAAAAGCAGCAGGCCTGCCCTGGTCCTGCCAGGCCAACTGAAACTCTTCCTTCATGCCTACAGTAGTGAGCTGCAGCTGGTTTCCAGGAGACAAAGTTAGTAAGAAACGGGAACGTGTTACATCTGGGCACAGTTTATTCTGTGTTTACCAGAACCCAGTCTGAATCTGCTTTGGAGGCAGCTGTCACCCTGCACAGGTAGCAGATCTGTCCTCAGCCCCTCAGCTCAGCCGGGAGCCTGCCTGCGTTACGGGAAGGCATCCCAGCTCAGGCACCGAGCTTGGAGAATCATCCCGACGTTAAAAATAGTAAGTATTTGTGAGTGTCTTTGTGGTGACATCAACTGCATAGACTAATAATTGACAATAGGGATTGGACTAGGCACATTATCATTATGTTCCAAATACAGCTAATCTCAGATTTCTACAAAAAGCAATGCTTTATCCTTTATAAAAACTTGTTTTCCTGCCTGATTACCCTTTCATATAAGCATAGCATATGTTTTCACTGTATTTTGGTTGTTAAGTCTTGTGGCTAAATGCAGCGGTGTCTTTCAAGCAGGCTTTGATTTGCCTTCATGGTAGCAATTTATTCAGGACATTCTGTTTTTGCTAGAAATAGTCACCGTGAATGTTTGCCCATCCTTTTAAAACTGTCAGGTCTATAGATGACAAGTGCTATGCAAATGCAAAATGGTATTATTCATTTGTTTCAGAGCCATAGTTTATTCAGTCATTATGGGCATAAACTGAGTAATTAGTTACACTGCCAGTTGATGCCTAAAAATAATTCTTAGGCAGTGCTTGAATTACTTGCCTTCTGTTGAGCTAAATAGTCTCATCATAGCATGATTGATGATTAAATCATTAAAGTGGATTTTATATATTATAGCCCAATTCAGCATCCTATCATTTTCAACACACATCCTATGTAGACAAACTTGTATCCAGATATATCTTTTACAGAACCCATATGAAGACCTCAGAACTAATGAATTAGCACTATGCAGTTTATTCTCCAATTATTGTACTTATCAAAGAAAGCCATCTGTGGTCTTTGTTTTACTGAGTTTTGGGGAAACAGATCACATACAGGCCTCATGGGAAAGTTATAATTATGAAACCAAAAGGCTATTTACAAGGTATGATGTGAAAGAAAACAAATCTGTGTTTAGTTTTGTACCTTCAACCTTTGATACTGTACATCAGGAATTGGCCCCTTCACTACTCAGTTTCCAGGCCTTTGTTGCATTGTTTCTTTCTTCACTCATTTATTTATACCTTCCTGCTCACATTTCTCTGTTTCTTTTCTCTGAGCTGTAGCAACAGAACCAGAGTCTTAAGTTTCAAACTTCTGCCAAAATGTAGGTGGTCAGACTTGAAAATGTTTGTTTGTGTCTGTCCAGCAATGCCAGGGTCAGTGCCCTTTCCTGTGTACCGGCCCATGTTCTGGTGGCTGTTGGTACATGCACATGCTGCAGGGGATGGTTTTCTCTCTATATTTCTCTCCATTTTTCTCTTTTTTTTTTTTTTTTTACAGCTGTAAGAAATTAGATTTGTTTAAAAATAACAGAAGGCTCAAGTACAAATTATGGAGTAAAAGCCTATAAAATTTCAAACTTGGTTTTAAGGCACAGCCTCTTTTGTTTTCTCCCTTTTTTTTTTTTTTTTTTTTTTTTTTCTTTATTCTCAGGCTGGTAGTTTGGGACAGGTGTCACTCTCTTGAAACATCCCCTGAATGGTACCGGTGCATATGTACTGCCTAATGGAGAGTGTGCC